TTTAGGAAGATAGAAAGGAAGAAAAGAAAAAAGAGAGAGGGACAGAGGAAGACAGAAGGGAGGAAGGAAGATGCTTCAGCATCTCAGGTGAGCAGATTCCCTTTAACCTGAAGTTCTGCCTCTGAAGCTGCATGTGTCTACCTAAATGTGTGCAGAGTCTAGCATTGAGCAACTAAAAGAGTCACCGAATCCAGTTCTGAGCTCGCCAAATCTGTACTCTGGCCTTTTGTAGCATGGCATCCCCGGTGTCAAACCCACAGTGAGGGGCTGCTTTATGGGGTGTGGCCCATGGGGTTCACATGAGCAATACAAGAACAAGATACAAGAATCTGTTCAATGAAGATGTGGCAAAAATCTGGTATGCTGAGTTATCTCTTTGAAGAGACAAGCATTTTCCATTATTCTCCTGAGAGACCAGGGGATTTTGCCATCCAACCAAGGTTGTAGGGTGAGTGTGGGTGCAAAGAGAGAGGGAAGTGGCACCACAGCCCAGAAAGAGACTTCCATTCCTACTTCAACTCAAGTAACTCCACATTTTTCTGTGTCCTGTACTGGTTTTCAGTATAGATGTCACGTAAATAAAGTGTTCTAATTTAAAAATAATTTGAAAAACACAGGACAAAGTCTAATCCAGAATCAAGGAGAAAGAGATCGAACTTTATATATTAACAAAAGGCAAAAGGCTCAAGGCAGTTGGTGGGCGTCTGAACCTGAATGAATCCTGAGACATCATGACGTCAGATGTAGGTGCAAAGGGGGAAAATCAGTGAAATCACCATTCAATTCCTGATGGGATCTGAAGGAATTATCCAGTTTCTTTGACATGCAATCTAGGGACTTTCTAGATAAATTTTGTCCCAACTTCACAGGCACAAACACCAGGCTGAGGCAGTGTCTAAGAACAACTAGTTGGTGCCTGGACTTAATGAGAATATTTATCACTTGTATGGGGACTTCTTCAGAGAATTTATTGTTTGAGATGAGAAAATTCTCTAAGACCCGCTGAATTTTTTGGAATTGTCTTTCTCCCTTTCAGATTTCTGAGTATTTGCCATGGGCCAGGCACTGAAAATCTAAGGTGAATAGCCAAGGAGTTTACAGATGTGTATAAGAGACAAGCACGTGAATAGCACAACCAGGACATGTTAGAATAGAGGCCAGCACTGGGTATATAGAAGCAGGAGAGGGCACTCTGGAAAAAGCCCAGAAACATCCCAGAAGAAGAAAACTTCCACAGGATTATAGAGGATGGATAGGAATAAACAATGAGAAAAGTTGGAGTGAAAGAGAATTCTGGGCTGGGGTAGTTATGATCCATGAGAAAGCCATGCATTATGGAGCTTGCTAGATTTAGTTTCTAAATCTGATTCCATCACATAAAATAAATGATGAAGTTATTCATCTTTCAGTACCTCTGTTTCTTCACCTATAAAATGGAGGAAGGGAAAAATTAGTTTTCTAGAAAATGGTGTCATAAGCAGGAACTCAAGCGTGATATTAGGAAAGTGATGATAACTTTGTCCACAAAGCAACAGGGAAATTTAATAGGATTTAAATAGATTTCTTATCAGTGTGTTAAAATGCTTTGTTCATAATTCTAAATTCCACCTCCACTTTTTTTCAAGTAACTGTTGTTTAACTATATCAATAATGGCATGGATTTCAGCTAAAGACATAAAAACGAGAATGTATACATCTAGAGTTCTTCCAGCATTAATAGTATCTGTTAAAACTTCACTGGGTACTTGTTGCTGACTGAAGGTCATGTCATTGTAGATTTCCTAGTCCCAGAAGAATATTTGGAAAATGATCCAACCAGGACTCCAACTAAATTCATTTCTAAAGTTCACACTTAAACATCTTATCCCAGTCTACATACACATACATAAAGAAAGACTGTTCTCTTTATAATGTAGCAACATTAGTAATATGACCAGAAAAATAAGGACCAATAGAAGAAAATACAATGTAGTCTTAGATAAGTTGTAGTAAACTCCTGGCCAGGACAGTTCAGGCTTTGGTTTAACACATTTATACACAGCACATTCTCATAGTCAGTTCACATCTATGGGACTACAGACTTGTGGTATTTACTATTATGTTAAAGGCTTAATGAGGGGAGGGCAGGAGTAGGAATCTCTAGAAGGAATTGGAAGCATTGACATGAAGCACCCAGAGAAGCTAGGAGAAGACCTGAGGGCAGAGAGCAGTTCTGGGTCTCTTGGCTCTGTAGAGACTAGTGCACATGACAGTGGCTTTCCCAGAAGCTGGTGGTAGTCTACTGACTCCCTAGATTGTACACTGGATGGCGAGAACTGACTCTTAGCTCTCTGACCAAGCTGCAGAAGAGAGGCTGGGGCATAGTTATTACTGAGCCTCTGCCTTTGACTCCATCTTTCTCCATCTCACCTCAGCATCTCACAGAAGACTGGAAGTCAGTCCTTACTGGTGTCAAGTTTATTTTACATTGAGTTTTTCTTCCTATATGTTATGTGAAATGAGTTAGTGAGAGGTTTCAGACGATCATGTTGGGGTACTCTGGGAGGCATTGATTAGATCAAAATCCCTAAGAAGGTGAGATAAATATTTGTATGGCTCTCGAAGAACTGGTGAGGTGTTTTAGACATAAATGGGATGTGGTGAAAGCTTTAGAATATTTTAACATACAGGGTCCCTGAGAAATGTACTGACATCTAGGATGGATGGTTATGAGGCAGGTCTTACAAAGGATGTGTGAAATGGCAATGCTTTCTAAATGGGCAAGATGTAGGAATACATATAAGTATATAAATTACCCAAACTGTGTGATATGAAAGACTCTAAATATCCTAAAGTAATGTGGCATGTGATATCATGCTTTATATATAACTACCACATGTTGGTATTGTTGTGTTGAATTTACTCTTAAAACAACCAGATTCTTGGAATTAAGATGAACCTGGAACAGCAGGTGGCCAACAATCCACCAGTGCACAAGATGGGACTTTTCCCACCACAGACAAGTCAGGGTCCACTTGGCCTCTGTGTCTGTACATGTCACCACACCTACCCAACACCTATCAGTCCAAATATATTACTGCTAGGGATGTGCTGTCAATTTTAAAGTGAATATATCATTTTATGGCAGTGGGAAGATTGGTTTACAACACTGTATATGATTCAGAAGTATAGGTTCACACTTCTTAAGATGTGTATTAACACACCACACCCACCACCAAGGCACCGATAGTCTTCCAAAATAGTCCACTGGGCCCCTCCATATTTCAGTTTCCATCCTCTTCTCCCCACTCTGGTAGCCTCTATTTTACAATCAGATTTCTATGGTTTATTGATGGTTTGATTTCGTCTGACCATTTATTTTGTTTCTCTATATTTTACATGTGAGTGAAACTATCTGATATTTTCTTTTCTCCTTCTGACTCATTTCCCTTGGCAAAATACCCTCCAATTCCATCCATGTTTCTGCAAATGGCAAGATTTTTATTTTTCATTTTTAGTAACTTGAGTAGTATTCTGTCACCTAGTGGGGCGGCAGCTTTGGGAATAGCTCAGGATGGAGGTAAGACAACTCAAAGTCCAAGTAGTGAGAGAGAGAGGCCTAGAGGGGCTCACGCCTATGGAGATGCAGCACCTCCCTTCCCTCCCCCCTCAGTCCCACATTTATGAAGTATCAGATTCAGGGAAGGTGGCTAAATATGTGGAGGAAGGGGAATGCTGGGGATGTGTATTGGGGATGCATAAATGTCTGGCACAAGCTAGAGGGCAATGAATAGGGGCTGTTGTCTGGATAGCTCCATTGTTGCTGCTCATCAGAAGTCCTGTCTCTGGTCCCTTTACACTTAACTTCCTGTCAAGGTGGTCTAGCTGGTTATGCTAATCTGGCCCTCATGTCTGCCTGCTGTTTTCAGCTGATATCCTCATACCAAGACTTTTGTCCTGGTGAGAGGCCCCCTACCTGACTCTATATTTTAGCTTGACCAGCACCAACTCTGGGCACCAAGTAAAATCCCAAGAACAAAGGGGACAGGGGAATTCACAGTATTCCTAATCCACTCAACTTTCCTAGGGCATTTGGGTTGTTTTCATAACTTGGTTATTGTAAACAGTGTCCCAATGAACATAATAAAATAAACAAAATATTTCATTTATTTATTTAGGTAAATCAGTGATGGTCAGCACCAAAAGCAAAGAATGAACCAGAAAGACAGGATTAACTGTATACAGCCTCTGCTGTTGATTGACACTGCAGGGCAACAGCTTCATAGATCCAAACTACTTTCTCCCAGTGTGTCAGGAATTGTTTTTTGATCTTATTTCACATTGCATATTCCACAATTCCATGAAGGGGATTAGGGAAAAAAATGGAACTATAGAGAGTGTTAGTTATCGAACAGATACTGGAAAAGAGCTTATTTCAATCTTTTTAATGTTTCCACAATCCAATTTCATGGAAGTTTGGTTGTTTTAATTTTTCAGATTAGTATTTTGGTTTCTGATCATATGAACACACACATACGTATTGCAGTATTTTCTTGACAGGGTAAGATGCTATAGTAACAACATCTTATATCTTTTAAAAATGTGAATGATGGAAAAATTGAGACATCGGTCTTTAGAAAATAATAATGACCAACTATAAAGACAATATGATCATGATTTTACACTTTATGGGTCCCATTTTTTTTAAGATTTATTTATTTATTTATACAAGCACTGGGTACAGTCAGAAGCACGGGAGGGTGAGAGAATTCACCAGAGCCAGAGCGGGAAGGAGAACAGGCAGAAGGACCGAAGTACACTGCTGAGGGAAGCAGTGGGTGGCAGGAGAGGTCTGCGTGCCATGTGGGACCCTCCTCCGTTGGCCCGGGAGAAGCTGGGGATCGAACCAGCACTGCAGAGGCTGTAGGCAGCTTCGCAACCCAGCGCTCAACTGCTGCGCCACCGGGGAGGCCCTATGGGTCCCATTTTTAATTCTAATTTCTAACATTTTTTATTTCAAGGAAGCTTACAAGTTCGATATCACCTGAGCAAGGAAGAAACTCGTGTATTCACCATTGATGGAGAGAACTTTGCAAACAGAAGGATGTACCACTTAAAAATTAACCGAGAGGGAAGAGAGCTTACCATTCAGGTACCTGTTTCTCTTCTTCTGCAGACAAATGTGCCTTGGCTTATTGCTAAAACTTTTCTGAAGTTCTACCCCAACCCAAGTGTGGTGTCAAGTTCTGCTGAAACAGGTATAAAGCACTTTTGACCCCACCTTGAAAGAATAGTTCTCAGAGTGTGTTCCTCCCTCCATAGAACCCTAACTTGTGACTTGCTGGAAATGCAAATCTCAGGCCCCACATCAGATCAACTTAATAAGAAACTTTCTTGCAGAAAATGGGGGGGGCAGGTGACTCTGATGTCCACTTAGGTTTGATGACCCCAGAACTAGAGTATAGTGAGGAAAACACACTCAATGAGAGAATCACAGGCACTGACGAGGGCAAAGTTGGAGATGTGCACAGGGGCTTTCGGGCATGGAGGAGGGCTCTGGTCTCGTCTGGGCGTCAGTGCTTAATACCTGGAAGAAGTTAGGAGTAAATGTGATGAATCAGTCCTAAAGGTGTGTCTACCTCTCATCCTTCCCATGAATTGCAGCTCCATGTATCCAACTACCTACTTTGGCATATCTATTCCAATATCTATTAGACATCTTCAATGTAAGATATCTAATTTTTTTAAATTTTTGCATATAACTGGGGTGTAAGGAGATGTGGGGGGTGAGAGGATTCACCAGAGACAGAGCGGGGAGCAGAACAGGCAGACTGACTGAAATACACTGCTGAGGGGAGCAGCGGGTGAGAGAGGACAGGTCTGCCGCGCCATGTGGGTCAGCAAAGTGGCTGGGGGTCAAACTCCAGCTGTAGCAGTGATAGCGCTGAGAATAAGTGATAATGTTATTTATCACTGAACACCCTGGGGCCACCAGGGAGGCCCTGTAACATATTTAAATTGAGTAACAGAATCTTCTCCCAACCTCACTCCTGTAACCTATATTTCAGTTCATGGTAGCTCCATTTTTGCAGCTGCTCAATTCTAAGCCTTAGTGTCATTTCTGATACCTCTCTCTCTCACCAGCAACAACCTTTTGGTCAATAGTTTCTACCTGCACCAAAGCCACCTTCCTCCTCTCCTTGCCTGTTCGTTGACAGACAGCTGCTTCTTCATTTTCTCCCCTGCAGCCCAGTCTCAGCATAATTGCCAGAGTAACCCTGTAAAAAGATTAGTCAGATCACTGCACTGCCCTGTCCAAATCCCCTCAACGGGTTCCCTTTTCAGACGAAAGGTAAAATCCCTTGCAGTCAAGAAGAGGATTCCCATGACCTGGCACCCCTGACCCTTCCCTCTGCTCCTTCTCTGATCTATTATTCTTCCCTCTGTAATTCCACTTGTGCACTCTGGCTTTCTGGCTATTTCCACAGCCCTTGAAATATTGGCACCCTGACATTGGGTGTCCTTTTGGGTATGGTTTAAGGAAGAAGCAAAGATTAAATTTTGGTGATTTGGTGAAGTTTAGGAAAAGCTGCAAATATATGGCACAAACGAAACTGTCTCTAGCATCTTCTCTTGATATAAGGGGGAAAGCCTTTGTAACAAATTTGAGTTGAGGATGCATCAGAGGCTGGAAGGAAGGAGAATAATGATTTGTTTGAAAATGTTGACTGAGGTCACAAGCATATTCTGTTGTATACATGACTCCTTTTTCTTCCTTCTTTATGTTTCCTGTCCTCTCTCTCACATCTTGAATGCTCTGACAGGCTGGCGGAGAACAATAAAGCATTCTTTCTCTTTTCCATCTAAAATACTTCCACCAATTTTGTTAATAGTCAATGACAAGCATGTTAGTTAAGTGGATCCTATTTCCAAAGAAGTGAAGGAGAAGAAAGAACTGGTTCCAGAGACATATTTTTCTTTATTATTTCTTTTTATACAAGAACCGGGGTACAGGCCAGATGTGCGGGAAGGTGAGAAGGTTCACCAGAGACAGAGTGAGGAACAGAACAGGCAGACTGACGAAATACACTGCTGAGGGGAGCAGCAGGAGAGACAGGAGAGGTCTGCTGCGCCATGTGGGACCCTTGCTGGCCGGCCGGGATTGAACCCGCGCTGCAGAGGCTGCGGACAGCTTCACAGTGCGGCGCTCAACCACCTATGCTGCCAGGGAGGCCCTGTTATTATTTTTCAATTTTGAATCAGTCTAGTGACTTAGAACCATAACATACTTGCCTCCCTGACACTCCAACCCTATGACCCTATCTAGATCTTGGCTCCTTCCTGCCTGCTTAGAGCAAGCTGTGCAGTGAAAACAGAATAGACTTCTCTTACATCCCCAGTTCCACCTCTAGGCTCTGTGTATCAGTAGGTGTTATTCAGAAACTGCTAAAGAGGAAAGGCAAGCCTCCAGAACCAGCAGATCCCCCCAAAAACCACATGCCTTGAGCTGCTGTTCCTTCTGTCTGTACTTTGTGATCCTAGGAAGGGAGCCTAAAGAACTGGGCCTGCAGCCAGGAGCAAAAACTCCAGGTGTTGATTTCAAAGTCATAATTCAACTAGTATTTTTAAAGGCACAGGTGTTTCCAAAATATACTGATGGTAGGGGTAAACTTCAGTGCCCTGATTAAAAAATGTGTTGATGACTTTAACAGCCGGTTGATAAAAATTCCAGCAGAGCAAGTGCAAATAAGGACACATATTTGAAACCAAGTAGTTAATTACTTCCTTTGAGAAATGAAGATCCTGAAGTCTACAGTAGCATCCCTAGAGTGAGACACTTGTGTGGGAATCACCTGACGCCATCACTTATGCTGTGTGATCTTAGACTAGTTACTCAGCTCTCTGAACTTTACTCTTCTGATCTATAAAAAGTGTGTGTGTGTGTGTGTATGTGTGTGTGTGTGTGTGTAGGGGTGCAAATGCAACTGAGTTCAGCCATTTATTTTAAAGATTATTTATTAAAGAACATAGCTGTTGGGCCTCCCTAGTGGCTATGAAGCTGTCCGCAACCTCTGCAGCACAGTTCGATCCCCAGCTGGCCACGGAGATACCCACATGGCGCGCAGACCTCTCCTGCTGCCCACTGCTCCCCTCAGCTGTGTATTTCAGTCAGTCTGCCTGTTCTGTTCCCCACTCTGTCTCTGGTGAGTCCTCTCTCTCCCTGAACCTCTGGCCTGTACCCCAGTTCTTGTATGCATAAATAAATAAATCTTAAAAAAAAAAAATAAAGAATACAGCTGAAGAACCAAGCAAGAAGCCTAGCACAAAAAACCTTTGTTCCATTTTCCTCCCTTTTCTGTAATAGTGACTTGACAAGACCACTGGGAATCCTAAATTCTGTCATCCTTAAAGCTTCTCTTGCCCAGAGGATGCCCTGCAGACACACTCAAGGTTTAATGGACTGTAGTGCTTCACCCCTTGCCATCTCGTCAATTGTAATTAAAAATAAAATATTAATTATAAAAAAGAAAATTCTAACAAGACAATGTATTTATCACTGAATACTTCAATGATAGCTGAGCCAAATCATAACCATTAAAGTTCTAACAATAAGTATCTGTGGTACCGACCTATCACTTTATTTTTGCTTTATGCATTTGTTAACATTTTCAGACTGGTGTCCCAGCTTTTGAACCAGAGCATCGTGGGTCTGTCACTCCATGTCAGTGTGGGGATACCCCCACCCACAGAGATTCAGGCCCACCAATAGCCTCCTGTCTCTCTGAGCATCGACCCTTCCTCTCTAAAACTTTACCCGTACTCATTTCCTTAAAAGCCCATTTAGTTTTCAGTCCTTCTCTCCTTCTTAAGTCATCTGCTTAATTAGCTAAGGATCAGGTGGCTCCCATGGGGAAGAACAATAGGACAGGCTTGACTCATGTACTTCAATCAGCAATTCCAATGTGTGATATCAGACCAAAGGCCTGTCAGAGTTCAGGGAATTATTTTCTTAGAAATTTGACTTTACGGAGTCTGAGGGACACAAGCTAGGGGAATTCGACTCATGAGTTCTAAGAATGCTTCCTCTGATTTCATTCAGCAGGAAATTACCATTCTCTTTAGTTCCCTCTTGAAGGGTAAGGGATTATCAGGCTTTTCTGCCCTCCCATGATTAGCTTTGAAAAAGATCCCTGAGGTCCTACATGCATGCCTAATGGCGGACACCTGGAGTGGGCTGTAGGCATGCATAGGTGGGCAAACCTGGGCTGAGACCGGGCCTATAAGGGCGGTGTCATGGGGACACCAGTGGAACGGAGCCAGCAGAAGTGAGAGAACAAGACCACGAGAGCAGGCCTGAGAGTCCAGGAAGTGTGACTATTCCCCGGGGGCTGGGAGACCTGCCAGCCTCCGGCCCCCTGCCACCCCTGCCTGCCTTGTACATTGTAAAATCCCAATAAAAACCTGAAAAAGCCACCGGGGGCTCCAGGACTCTCCCTTACCCGTCTACTCCGATCATAGAAAACCTACTGTAGGGGCAAGAATGGCCACAGGGCAGGTTTTCTATGATCCAGCACACCGGGTAAAGGAGGAGTCAGAGTCCTCAGTGGCTTTTTGCAGGTTTTTATTGGGGTTTACCAGGTACACAGCAGGCAGGGGTGCTGGGGGCCGGGAGGCTGGCAGGCCTCCAGGCCCCCAGCAAGTCTCCACTCTATCTGGGCTCTTCGGCGTTGTCTGCTTTTCTCTCGGCTTCTCCTGCTGCTGGTGTCGCCGTGACACCGCCCTTAAAAGCCCAGTCCCAGCCCAGGTGAGTCCCATCTACCTCTGCCCACACCCTACTCCAGGTGCCTGCCATCAGGCATGCATTCAGGACCGCCAGGATCCATCATCCATCCTGATGGCGGGAGGGCAGAAAAGCCTGACATTTTTTTCCTTACCCTCCACCTGCTCTGTGCCCTCCTGGCACTACACCTCTCCAACCTGGGCAACAAAGCATGAGGCGGGGCCCTTGCCCCCCGCTAGAAGGAGCATTTCCAGAGAGTAGGAGAGGTAGGTGAGGACTTTGAAGTACAGCAGAAAGAAAACTCCTTCAGGATAATGACTGAATCTATGAACATCAAACAGATTGTAGATGAGCACCATGGATCCAAAAGCTCCATGTTGGTCCTAAATGCGTGAGGGCCGTCAGGGTGGCCAGAGACATGCTGGTGGTGTGACAGATTCTGTCTTCATAGCCCACCAAATAGAACGGGAATCAGTAGAGGTTGTTTACTTATTCACTCAGCAAACCTGTGTTAGGATTTACTCTGTCAGCTGCTATACTAGGCCTGACAAACACACATATGGATAAGATATGGGCTGTGTTTTCAAAGAAAATATGGTTTAATGTGTGCATGTGGAGAGGGAGAGAGAGCGAGGTGAAAGCAGATGATCATGTCTCATTGTAAATGTGTGCTTAGAGGTAGAAAGAAAAGAAACTTTGAGAGCAGAAAATCAGTTAATCTAAGATCAGTTAATCAGTTAATCAGAAGATCAGTTAATCTAACCAGGGAATTCTCAAGGAATGCTTCCTGCAGGGAGTAGATATAGTAACAGCGTTTGGTATGTAGTAGATATTCAAATATTTATTGAATGACTTTTGTAGAAATTTAGAGAAACACAATGACTCTCAAATTTCTCAAAAATCTAGAGAGTTATGCCAAATAAACCCCAAATCTCGTGGTAGGCAGGCACATGCTAATAGGGCTCTGCACTGAGCGGCCGTGGACAAGTTATAGATTTCTGTGACATCATTTCCCAGATCTGTAATAGAGGGGGCAATAATGCCTCTTTCACAGTACTCTAGGAAGGCAGACATTATGAAAGGGACTTTAGCATGGTGCCTCGTACATTCCAAGTATTTAATAAATAACAGATATGATATGTCTGAAATCATAAATGAAATGGTATGAAGGTATTTCATCTCATGCTAAAGACATAGCTAGTGACTTTTCTCACAATCAAAATCACTGACAGCGGGGAAGCCAGAGATTCCAGGAGGAGGGTGGATCTGAGCAGAAGTGGGTACAGAAGGAAACTCCCGACAGTGGGAGTTGGCAGAATTGGTTGTTACTCCCAGATCAGCTGCCCCGCCGAAAGTCTGTGTTCAGCATGCAGATAAAGGGATCTTGCTCTTCCCTTGCTGTGGGAACTATGAGATAAGGAGAATATTTTCCAAGAACAATATATCAACATCATAATATTCAGAGTGAAACCTTAGAAAACTGATAGGTTTTGACTAAACTGAGAAAAAGATCAGGTGGAGGGGGAATCCTGCCTTGGATTGGGGAGGAGAGGAAGGAACAGGAGTTACCATTGGGTGAGGTAAGAAGGGTTCCCTAAAGGGCATAAAGCCCAGGAGAATCCCATGGGTGATTTGCTTTCAACCCTGAAAGGTAGGTTCATGGCTGTTGATATGACATAGGAAAATCCCACGGTTCACTCCTGAATGTACCCAGGATAATTATAGAACAAAGGTGGCAGGGGAGATGGGTAGAAGCAGATAGAGGATAGAAATGGGAATGCTTGCCTTTCATTTAAGGTAATCCTGCACAGCAGTTCCTAAGAAGGCTTCATCTGTTTGTTTGTTTGCAGTGAAAAATTTAGTGAGAAAATCTCAGTGGGGAGATAAATACTTGTCAAAAGCTGTACAGATTTCCCAGGGAGAAGACTTGTGTGAAAGCATTTATTTCACCTGGAAGAAAGAAAGGGGTATTTTATGTGCATTATGGGAGAATTAGCCACACAGTTCTCATCTCTCCAGAGAGAAAATCCCAGAGAGGGGTCTTTTCTGTGTTTTCAAGCTATTTCCAGATGGGAGTGTTTTATGCCCACTACGTGCTGACCTCTGCTGAGGCACCTTTCTTTTCTGTTTTCCTGCAGGTGGACCAGCAACTCCGACTCAGTTATAACTTCTCCCCAGAAGTCGAGTTCAAAGCTGTAAGATCACTTACCTTAGGCAAAGTCACAGGTTCGTGGTTTTATCCCATGCCTTCCCAGTGAGATTTATTAAAATAAAAAAATAAGTGAATAATTTTTGTCTGGGTGTTTAATGCTTCAGTTGGGAGCCTCTTGCTCCTATCATATGCAAGAGCTAGGGCCAAGATTTCTGGTCTATAAGATACCCACATGTATGTGACAGGGTTGGGAACTAGCAATTATAACCACCTTATAGAAGCTGGAATAAGGTAAATTAACAATGAAATTATGGAAAATAATTACATTTTATTTTCTGATGATTAATTTGAAATATTTGCTTCAATTGAAATCTTAAAGTTAATTTTTGCTTAAAAAATTAAACATTTGAACAACCCAATTATTGATTTACTCAAATAATCTCTTTACTAATTTATCACCCATTGAAAGAAGATTGAAATCTCCTACTATAATAGTGGACTTTATTTTTTTCTATTGAAAGTTCTATGAATTTTGATTTTATTTATCATGACAGTATATTTATTATTTTCATGCAGAACAAAATTTTTATGTCTTCTTGGTGAGTTAAATTTGTTTTCATGTTAAAGTGATCCTTTTTAACTTTAATATCCCCTATGCTTAAATCTATTTTGTGTGTTATTAATATAGATAATTCAGTTTTGCATTAGTTAATATTTTCCTAGTCTATGTTTTTCCATATTTTTTTTTTTTTTGTTCTAAGCCTAGGTATGATCTTGTGAAGAGTGTATTGGGCCAATCTTTCTTTTTATCTAATCAGGTCATGTTGCATAAATTGGCAAATGTATACCCCTTTACATTTTGGGGTTACTTGTATGGTTGGGTTTGTGCCTGTCTCAATTTCTACCTGTTCAACTTTACTGTGATTGTGTTATTCTTTCTTATTCATTTACAGTACAGTGTAAAAAACATTAATAACTGGAACATTTTAAGCAGGAATGGATTTAACACTAGAAATGAATGGCTTATAAAATTGTTGCAGCATTTACAGAGTGAATTCTCCTTTGTGACTTTTATAATGATTCCCCATGCAATTGTGAGCTGATTAATGGGAAGCCATTACTACTGAGGCCAGGCTAGAGTCCAAAGGCAGCTGTGGCTCCAGTGCCACGTGACAATTCCCAAAGAGCAGGAGAAAATGCCTGAAAAATTGTGGCAGAGAACTTTTCATGTTCCGCTGACTTTGTTTGCCAGTAAAAGGAGACAAGGAAGGAAAATCAATCCTGATTCACTACAGTCTTCCAGATTCGTGAGCCATATCTAATTTCCAGAACATGAACTATGTCCAGAAACCTAGTTTATAGTTGGGTCTAGAAAATGCCAATTTTAGTTTCCAAAACAGTGGTAGAATGAGTCAATCAATAGGAACTGACTTCTAGATTGATTTTATGTTTATTTTCTATTTCATCCTCCTCCTATTAATAATTATTATTTTGTGTAAACAGTACTATTTTTAATTTATCAATGGAGTTACTAATTTGCGTATTCCTCTTTAATAATTCCTCTTTAAATAATTCTTTATTTTAGAAATTTCTGCACTCTATCAGAATTGGTGTCCTTTCTTAAGTGTTTTGAATTTCCTCTTGTAAGGACCCCATTGTCTGAAAACCTCTTCATTTCAGTTTTTGCTCTTGGAAGGTAGTTTTGCTAGACAGACAATTCAATATTGAAAGATATCCTCCCTCAGCTTTTGAAAGAATTATTCCGGTGTGTAACAGGGTCAGTTCACACTGGCTCAGAAGAACCTATTGTACACATCTCTGTCCAATTCTAGATTCAGTGATGTCATAATGGTATTGGAAGCTGGCCTTCCTGGGAGGGTTTTATACCCTGGGAATCAGCCATGCTACAAGTCAGAGCTCCCCTTTGCTAGTGAGTCAGTTTTAACACTCACCAGTACAAAATTGTACTCTTCTGTCTTCCACTATTGCTGTTGAGAATTTGGCTTTCAATCTGTCCTGTCTTTGAAGGAGTTTGATCATCTCCACCCCCAGTACTAAGCTCTTTTATTAGTGTTTGGCAAGTTAGTATTATTTTTTTAATTAAATTTTAATGATTTACCATTGATACTATATAAATTTGAGGGGGCAGCTTCATGACTCTATATGTAACTGAAGTTCACCTCACCCATCAACAATGTTCTAATGCCATTCCCACTGTCAAATTGACCTCCCCCACCCTATCCTCTATCCCTTCCCCTCCTTCTTTTGTAACCACCACCTTTTTTCAGAGTCTGAGTTATTTTTCTCATGATTTGTTAGTTCATTTATTTTGGTTGTTAATATTTCACATCTAACAGAATCCGTCTGATAACTGTTTCATTTTCTGACTTGTTTTGCACAGCATAATTACCTCATGTTCCATTCATGTTGTTGCAAAGGGTAAGATGTCATCTTCTTAATAGCCAAATGGTATTTCATCAATTATATATACCTCGACTTCTTTATCCATTTATGCCTATTGTTGGGCACTTAGGTTGTTTCCATATATTTGGGTATTGTGAAAAATGCTGCTATGATAGGGGAGTATGCATCTTTTTAGAAATTATGTTTTCACATTCTTCAGATTAATAACTAGAAATGGTATTGCTATGTCATAAAGTACTTCCAGTTTTAGTTTTGTTAAGAATCCCCATACCATCTTTCATATAGATTGCACCAGTTTACAGTTACATCAACAGATAATGAGGATTCCCTTTGTGTCACACCTTTGTCAATATATTGTTGTTTTCAGTCTGTGAGGTGATATCACATTGTGGTTTTAATTTGCATTTCCCAAATATTAGGTGAAGTTGAACATTTTTTCATGTTCCTGTTGACCATCTGTTTGTCTTCTTTGGGAAAATGCCTATTCAGATCTTCTGGCCATATTTTGATTGCGTTGACTCCTTTTTGTTGTTGAGATGTATGATTTCTTTGTATTTTTTCGATATTAAGATCTTATTAGATGTGTGATAAGCAAATATTTTCTCCCAGTCAGTTGGTTGCCTTTTTGTTTTTGTTGTGGTTTCTTTCAACATAAAAAAAAAAAAAGATTTTGAGTTTTACTTATTTTTGTTTTTGTTTCCTTTGCTGTTGGAGTTGTGTGAAATACATCTCTATGGTCAGTGTCCATAAGTGTATGATGTACATTTTCTTCTATGTATTTACCACTTTCAGGGCTTATTCCTAAGTCTTTAATCCATTTTAAATTGCCTTTCATGTGGTGTTAAATAATAATCTAGTTCCTTCTTTTCCCTATGTAGCTGTGAAAGTTTCCCAGCACCATCCATTTCTTTTCTCCTTTGTATCAACTTGCCTCCTTTGTTGTATATTAACTGTTCATATATGTAAAGGTTTATTTCTGGGCTTTCAGTTTTATTACATTGGTATGTATGTCTGTTTTGTTTCAATATTATAATACTCTTGATTATTATCATTTTATTGTATAGTTTGAAGATAGAGCAAGAAACATTTATTTTTCATTTTTCTCAGCATCACATTGGCTATTACATTCTTTTGCGGTTCATACACATTTTAGAATTGTTTGTTCTATTTCCTTGAAAAAAACACCATTGGGATTTTGAATGGATCACATTGAATCTGTAAATTTCATTAGGTAATTTAGCCATTTTAACAATACTTATTCTTCCAACCTATGAACTTGGAATATCTCTCTATTTCTTTGTGACTTTCATTATGTCATGTAGTTTTTAGAATACATGTTGTTATGTGTTGTGTCTCCACATGTTTGAAATCATTCCAGTTTTCTTTTTGTGGTTGCTATATTGCTTCATAACATCACAGTCAGAAAATACTTGATATGATTTGAATATTCATATATTTATTGAGACTTGTTATTTGTCCCAAGATATGATCTACCTTGAGAAGTTTTTTGTATATTTGAAAAGAATGCTCATTTCCTTTTGAATGGAAATTTCTGTAAATACCTATAAAGCCAATCTGATCAATTTCTTCATTTAAAGCCATTATTTCCTTTTTTTTTTTTTCTTTTTGGATGATCTATCCATTGATGTAAGTAGTGGATTGAGATCCTCTACTATTATTGTGTTTTTATCGATGTCTTCCATTATTAGGTATCTTATTAACTGCTTTATATATTTAACTGCATCTGTGTTGGATACATATCGATTAATAAGTTATTTTTTCTTGGTTAGTTGTTCCTTTGATCACTACATTGTGTCCACTTTTGTCTCTCATTACTATTTTTGTCCGAAAAACTATTTTATCAGATGAGAGTAGCCATTTCTGTCTTTTCTCTGTTATTGACTTCACATTCCTTATGCCAGTCTTTTACTATGAGTCTATGTTTGTTTATAGATCTGGGTCTCTTGTATGAATAATATAAATGAATCCTTATTTTTTATTCATTTTCCCCCTCTATATCTTTTGATCTATGAGTTTAGAAAGTTTACATTTAGGGTGATTATTGATTATTGCTATGTAGGGCTTAATTATTGCCAGTCTATCTCTTGTGTTTGGTTTGTTTTATATTTCTGATTTTTCTTTCTTCATATACCTTTCTTATCTGTATGGGTTTATTTTTGCATGATTTCCCATGGTGATTGTTTCAGTCTTTTTCATTTTATTTTCTAAGTGCTTCTATTCCATATTTTTGTTTTGTGGTTACTATGTGGGTTATATTATCTTTCTTTATCTAAACTTGTGCTTATATTAATTAACTTCATTGTTTCTGTCCTTTTTTTTTTACCCCCATTTAGTGTTTTGCAATTGTCCCATTTTATCCTCGATAATGGTTCTGATTCTGAATTATTAGTTTACACTTTGCTCAAGGTTTTGTGCTTTTTGTTTGTTTCCATGTAAAATAATATAATGAATAATATTTATTATAGGGCAGGTTGGTGGTGGCAAATTTTATTGACTTGTTTTTCAGGGAAAACCTTTATCCATCATATTTGAATGATAGTTTAGCAGGGTAGAATATTCTGAGCTGGTGGTATTATTTTTTATAATTGAGAATGTGTCATTCTACGCTCTCCTAGCCTGTAGAGTTTTT